CATTTTGTTTACTTTTGTAAGAACACAAGCTGTCATCAAGAAATGCAGAAAGCATTTCATCCTCCTCCATTACTTTGTATCTAAAATAAATTTTGCCCTTACATATAATTATTACATCTAAACCGTAAGTGCTTAATAATTTAAGTAGAAACGTATGACAAATGCATCAATATGTTGCAATATATGACATTTTTTAAAATGTACTTTTGTTTTTGGGAAAGTGAAAATGCGTGCATTCAAAAGAAAAACCCCTCCATCAAAAATCCACCATCATGTGTGTGTGTGTGTGTGTGTGTGTGTGTGTGTGTGTGGTGTGTCTCGGGTAAACACTGAATAAGAAGGCTCCTGGGGTTGGGGCACGTTTGTGTGTGCCCTTGTATGTTGGTGCAGTGTTTGGGGGCACAAGGAAGTGGTGGATGTCCTCGCGTGTACTCCCGCAGGTGGCTAGACTGCTAGCCAGCGCCGGGAAAGCTGAGGTCCTTTCCGTGTCAATTGTGCGAGGTCATGTGCCTAGACAGGTGGTGGCGCTCCCTGAAGGACTCATTGCAAATGGGGCACTTGAGTTTCTCCTCCCGCCGCCGCTTCACCAAGGGCTCCATCGCATACTCCTTTTTGTGGTGCGACCTCATGTGGTACACTAGGTCGGAGGTCATGCGGAAAGAGGCGTTGCACTTGGCGCACCAGTTCTGCGCGGGCAGACACAGCGAGGTGAAGGAGGGCGGCAGCAGTGTGAGCGCCGACGGCAGCTGCAATTGCAGGGGCCCAGCGGCCGCGGCAGCCGCAGCTGCAGCCGCCGCCGAGCTCTTGGGCCAGAAGGCTGTGGCATAGAGGAAGGGGCTCTGCTTGGGCAGGCTGCCACCGCCAGTCTGCAGGGCCCTGCAACCTCCGTTCAGGTCCGCGGCCCCCTGGAGCTTCACTGCCAGAGGGTCAGCAGCGGCCGGGTAGAGTCTGGTGGGACCCACGCCATCGCCGGGATGGCAGGGCTCGAGCGCGCCCAACTTCTGGCCCAGCACCAGCGGGGACAGCTGTGAGAAGGAGCGCGCCGGCTGCGAGAAGGCGCTTTTGCGTTCGTCGGATGCTGCGCCCTGGCCACCGCCCGCACTACCTGAACCTGCTGACCCAGCGCCGCCCCCTGCGCCGTTGCCTCCGGAGGCGCCCAGCTGTGGCACCGAAGTGAAGGCGCTGCCCCGCGCGGGACTACCGCCCTCCAGCCTGCTGGGCAACGGGCCCCCAGGCCGCGGGGCCAGCAGCTTCTCCGCGCCTGCCGGAGACGCAGCCGCTGGCGTGGAAGAGCCACCGCCACCACCTGCGTCGTGATCCTCGGCAGTGGTGCTCCCACCATCCACAGTCGCCTCCTCCTGCAGGCCGGCCCCGCGGCCAGCCTTCTTCACCTCCACGAAGGCGCTGCGCTTCGCCTCGCCGGTCTCGGGGCTGGGTGGCGCGAAGAGGCGGCCGTTTTCTTCCAGGCTGAAGTAGCTGCCAGAAGCGCGGTACTGCTGCGGCGTGCA